ATTTTATCGTGTTTGTTTCATCCACAACTCGGTGCAAACCATGTCCAGGATCTATAAATATTCTCTTCAGGACATGATACGACTAGAAGCTGTGAATTCTGTGCTACCTGCTAATTATTTACTTGGTGAGAGTCATTAAAAGTCCTTCGATCGAAAAACGCAGACGGGTCGGATGGCAGACTTACTTGCACCCTTCCTGCCAAGATGACCGTGCCATCATTGATCAGCACTAACGTTCACTCGCTATTCGGATTTAACTTCCATGCTGAACACATGCATTAGTTCCAACACAGGTATGTGTACAAGAAACCCGGTTGAATCAAAACATTGAGGACTTGCTCGTGCAAATAAAAGGCTTTGATTGCTACCAGCAGAATAGACAACGAAGTAGGGAAAAAACCGGAGGCGGTGTGGCTAATTACATTAATGTTTTCTGATGCGGCAAGGCAGAAGTAATATACAAATATTCTGAAAAATGTAACGACTGTTTGTCTGTTCGTTGTCCCCTCTAAATTTCTGAATCTCTGCTTTCTTTGATTCATACATTTCATTTCTAGTTTAATTATTAGATGAAAATCTTCACTTACTTGTTGGTGGTTTCAAACATACAGGCGTTTCTCCCCTGCTTCCGTTTGGTCGGTCTGACCTTTCTTATTCTCCTACCAGAGGTAGTTCTGTACTGAACAGAATGATCACAAACCATTCCGACTTTCTCTCTCTCTCTCTCAAACTAATGGCCCCGGTTTCTACCAATGACCACAGTATTCTTGTTAGATCAAGTATTATCAAGCATTCGTACGTCCTACTCAGATAAAATTTCATCTAAGGGTCTTTTCACCAAAGTATATCTCTCTTCTCAACCATTCTGTTCTGATTGTTCAGTCTTGATTTGATTATTGTCCATCGCTTTTTAAATGTGTCAGTCTGTTTACTGAACCGATTAAATCGATCTTTCACTTATGTTGTCCAATTAAAACTCCGTTTATCTGTAACGGCAGAATTACCTCACCTTTTGTGAAATCAATGAGAAGGCATAAAGAAATG